TTTGAAGAAAAAGAAGAAAGCCTGAGCACCAACGGAGAATTCAGACTTTGTCCTCCGCGTGCAGCCAATCTGTGCCGAAAAACCATGAAGTACCCCAAAACATTATTCTTCATTTAAAGCCAAATGGGCGAATGTTTAAGCTGAAACAGCAGTATAGAGCTCGAGGTTTTTGGGTGTGGAAGTGCTTGACTAGTAGGGAGAAATCACAACTGATAGCTGCCGAAGTGCCTCTGACTATCCTCATTCTATAGGTGGAGAGATTTTCAAAAAACGAAAGGCGTCTTCATACGAGAAATCGCAACTCGATGATCTCCAAATACGTGAGAACATGGTGTGAATCCAGTGAGTGAAGGTTGAGTATGGACACATTCTGATTAAGTGCGATTTGTTCATGGTACCGGCCAGCTGTTCGTGGAGGAAGGGCTACGTACTGAGACCGCTAGTCAGCAAATCATGAGTCCAAAGTCCTTAGGATTCTATGCGTTATAAGCTGCCGACGATCATGAATTAAGGTGATTCAACTTTAATTAGTTATTGGCTGATCAGCTTCGTACGGGGTGAAAATCTAGAATAAAAATAACTGAGATTAACCTTCACTTCTCACAAAGGGCCTTATTCAAATAAATTAGCATGGTTGTACGAAAGAAAGCACCGGGGTTCTCTGGCGTTAACGTCAATAATTATTATCATCTATGGCATGAAAAGAAGCACCTTTAGAGAAACCCGCCGATGGATGTGACAAACGAAGTACTGTCAACCACCACGTGGTCAGTTAGACGTCCGCACTTAGAAAGGCTGTGAAACATTGGATTCGCGGGCTGCTTCAAGACGGCTCCAGCGACTGAGCATTCGCTCCGTTAACATTTAGCCTGTGTGGGAAGGATGTTCCAGATCAGGTACTCTAGATCGTCTACCACCGACTGCCGTTCCAAAATGTACTGGATGACTGGGGTATCGGTAAAAACGGTAATGCATGGGGTTGTAGCGCACTTAGGATCTCATTAGCGAGTTTGATCAAATAAACGAGCAAAGTAACAAAATTACAATAAGAAAAGGATAAACAATCGATAAGAACTCATGAATGCGTAGATCCAATAGTCCACTACACCGATTCCAATGCAGTAACCGGATGTGAAGGAAACATCCACTTGTAGAAATTTTCCACTGATGATTCACGTGTGAGTAGTATATTCCACATAGGAAAGTTATTCACAGCTAAAAATGTCACAGGGAGTTATTATGACGTTCAACAGTTAACAAAAACAGTGAGTTAGTCTCACTGATCAGCAGTCGGCAAACAATTCAACGGAGTGTAATTCCACTGATTCGGCAAGAAATCAGAAAGCCGCTCCGAGACCTTGTGTATTGCACCATTTTTTGATGTAATTATTGGTACAATAAAACAAACATCATGATTAAATATGTATAACAGTTACAAAATGTAGTTTAAGTCCTGGGAAAATGGTAAATAAATGTGACGACGGATTACAGACACTACAAAGTCAGCCATCGGTCAGATTCTCCTGAGGACACATACACAGAACGAATTAAGCATCCAAGTCAGATAAAAAAACGATGCAGAGCACTCCGTGTTTTGAGTATACGTAACGGCAAAACTAGACATCCAGGCTTCTTCAGAGTTGCTATTGGCAATCGACGTTCAGCGGGTACTGGGAAATGATTGGCTGTTGGCATCATTTCTCGACCAATCAGAGAACGACCATCCGTTCTTTCAGCGAATCACGAGCGAACTATGCCTTTGACCGATACAGCGCATAACCGCGAGCGATCGGGGATGCCCATGAGCATTTGTAGCTTCGTGGGACCGTTGACGGTTGTAGCGAACCGAAACCAAACGGGGAACCCGAGCAAGGGATTGTACTGTCGCCCTATAAACTTGTCTCTGAGGTAGCATGCTTCAACTGTGATTGTCTCCAATAGCCAGTCTGAACTGGCATGCCGGTGTGCAGGAGTTGGTGTTCGAGCATGGAGCAAATACGTGCACGGAAGAATTGAATGCTAGAAATCTGTGAGAGGCATGACTGTTTGTTGCGTTGGCAGAAGTTTCGATCGAATACTGGGAGCCCTAGCAGCACATACAGTCCAAAATAACCGAGTTTTCCGGTTATACGACGGTTATATAACCGTCAAATAACCACCTTTTATGGTTAACAAGTGGTTATTTGCACCAACCTAACCGTCAAGTAACCGTGTTTTCCGTTTATATATAAGGGAGACGCAAATTTAATGCAACCGTACGGGAAGTTTGGTGGAGTTTGTGGGCTGTGAGTGTAGTGGTCAGTTACGCTGGTTTCGTAGTTTCAGGGAAATGCGAATGCTATGAAAGCCTAGCAGGTGAGTTTAGAGAAGAGCGATCGCTCGAACTGTTTTGAAACAGTTCGTGGACTGTCGAGGAGTTTTCAGCAACCGTATTTTTAGTGTGTTCTTTTGATAGCCCGTTTTGTTTTTCTGAGGTCAAGTTAATACTCACTCGCCCAGGACGAGGTGAGAAAGTACGGTCCCACTCGGAGCCACTGGTTGGAGAACCTGACCCGTAAGGCAACGTTTCATGGGGTCGTATGACGGCATTTACAGTTCGTACACCTTTCAAGTATCAGAGGATCATCCAGAATGCACAGTTCACCCTACAACCACGAACAATTGAGTCATGATTGGCACCCACTCATAAGGTGACCAGGACTTTGGTCGCTGCACTGGACGTGACCGCACTCGGTTATGAGTAAGCCCAACACAACGGTTCTGTTTCTAAACTTCCTGTCATCACTCTTGTCAGCGATTTGATTCGAATGCCAGTCAATTCGGGCCTTGCTATCATACAATCGTCGGACATTCGCGGTCTTTTATAAGGTAATGATCAGGTAGTGATCCAGTGTGCCCTGGCAGTACCGCCGCTGCTTGTGCGTGATCGCCTATTCGCCACAAGTGACTTACAGTGAACATAACGTACCTGACAACCTGGGGACGCATGCCGTCCCGATTGTTCCATGTACCCTTCTGCCAGGTCTTATCGATAGCTTGATATAAAACGAAGATGCGGCGAGATGGCTGAAGTGGTTAGAGCGCGAATTTACTGACCGAAAGGTCCGTGGTTCGAACCCGACCTCTGCCTCTCGACGTCCCCTGTCTAGGCTTGGGCAACCTGGCAGTATCCCAGCCCTCGTGCAACCTTCGGGTGGCATTGACAGTTAGCGCCGGAAGGGTGCTACAGCTGGACGATGAAACGAAGCGTCAGTTCACCGCGTATGGTAGTGTGATTAGTTCCAAGTTGTGCACTCTGTGCTGAGGTCTTTCGTAGATACCCTCAGCAATAGTATGTCGCCTTATTATTCATCTACGTGTAAAGTTGTGTTCATTGGGCTCCAGGACACTCGGTTCAAATCATTTCGCAGAAAATTCATTCTGACAAAAATAAGAGGACGGCCATCTCCCCATTGCAGTACGGTCAGCACTGGCATACAATCGACCACCCGTTTACATTTCCGCATGGTCGAATCGGAGATTCATACTGCCTGAGGTAATTAGCTCAAATAAATCCCTTTAAGGACGCATTTACCAGTTTTGGGACTGCAATTATCCAGGGCTTGTACTGATTCAATGAACAAACATCCACCCCATAGCTCTATAACCACAGTCCAAAGGCAACTGTTTCTCGGGATCAGATCCAGTTAGGTATTTTAACTCCAGGGCACTGCGCAAACCTTAAGCCATGTGCTACGGGGGTCGTTGTGGCAAGGACTATGCATACCCGAAAAGTAAAATGTGGGAAATCCAGGTTCACTGTAGGTACACAAAGAGAAATCACTCAGCTGTAACGCCCTTCCGGTGCCTAGCTGCGTTGCTGCCCGAGGGAAGCGCGAGGGCTGGGATACTGCCCTAGCCTAGACGGGGGAAGTCGAGAGGCAGAGGCCGGGTTCGAACCACGGACCTTCGGGTTAGTAAATTCGCGCTCTAACCACTTGAGCCATCTCGCCCCCTATAGGTATACAGCGAAGCCTGGGTATTGCGCGTATTTTGGAGACAGCGTGTATCAACTTTTTATGGGTAATACGTCTTGAGCACTTCGGATTCGACGGATTCGACAAATCATCTAAACAGAAGTCCTTACTGAGACCTAGTTTACAGTTCTTTTTCTGGCTTTAGGGGAGTAACAGTATAGGTTTAGCGCGTTGGTTAGAATCAATTTGGAAACATTCCTGTTTATATTGGTGACTTAATAGGTGGTCTGGTTGGCTGCAATAGTCAACTCAGTCCGAGGACGCAGAGGTAAAAGCACAGATGTCTGACGCCGGATTTTGCTCGGCATAGTGGGTCTGTTTAGCATCTCATAGGGAATTTGTCAGGCCATAAAGGACAAATTTGCTGGCGGTCACAGTTAGCCTTAGAATGACCGGGATGTGCGTTCGTGAATATAAAAGTGCTGGTTACATTCGTCTTGGTGACGCAGAGGGCGACACGGGTTTACCTCTGAATATTCACGAAATAAGACCTCAATAAGTATCTGACCTCGCTTCTCCTTGTTTGGCTTCTCTCTTAGCCAGATAAGTGTGGTCGAACTTGGGGATTGATATTCCAGCCAATATAATCCACTTTTAGTTGACAGTCTTGGTAACTGACATTTTGGGTTGCTTAGAATGACGGATTGGGGTGCCCGTGGTCGGCGTACGAATTCTTGAAGGAGAACAATTACCAAAATGAAGTCTAATTTCTAAAGGCGAAAGGCGTTCTCGAGTTGTCCATTAATAGTTGGGGTCATGCTTCACCATCATATTACCTATCGTCTGTGGACAGTTTGATACGGGCGCACGTTTTGTTTATCTTGGAAAACCCTTTCTCCCCCATCACTTTTCTCAGACCAATTAGCGTTGCTCAGAAGTAGTCGTTCACGCTTGTTTTACCTCATCACACGCTTCTCACTCTTCCAGCACTTTGGCTAACGTGCCACCGCCTCCGTCACTTGGAAGATAGCTTGGTCGAACGTCATGTTGCATGTGTTTGTTTCATCCAGTTCCGGAAACCCCCTTGTTAGTTTTCTATTTTTTATTATAACCTCCTCACGAACAGGTCAAAAACAAGCAACAGTATGTCCTCAATTTGCTCTCCGCGCTGAAAATTCCCTACAAAACTCGCGATATTTCTCAGTGTGAGGAAGACAAGCAGTTTATGATGAAAGTTCTCCGTGAATTGGGGAAACCGGTGATAGCTCCACAATTGTTCCTCGACAATGAGTATATCGGAGTATGTCAAATTTCTTCATCGATTTGGCAGCTCCTTTCTGTGTATTTTTCGAGTCCTGTATTATAGTCAGGTTGAGTTGGGCATTTTCATCATCATAATCATTGGCAGCAAAACCACATGCTTCGTTGCCGAACAGCCATGTGAATTTGTTTGAATACAGCCTTATAGTAGAGGAAGGAAGAAAATAGGACAGGGAGGGGTGTCCAGGGCTAACGTACAACAAACATCCGAGGTGCCTGCACCTCCAAAACTCAGTTAGACATTCTGGATAGAAACCGACAGCGTGAGCTCCACAGGCATCGTTCATTGTCGCCAACCAAGCACAGGAGTGGTGACGTGGACCTTGTTCTGGAAGCCGAACAGTGCCAACAACGCCCAGGCTTTTCGTAGCCAGCCAAGCACAGGAGTGGTAACGTGGACCTTGTTCTGGAAGCCGAGCAGTGCCAACAACGCCCAGGCTTTTCGTAGCATCCTTCGTTCCCTTCTCCCATGTCAATTCCTGTCCACTTCTATGTTTCCGCTAATAAAAATCAGGCACGGAAAATAGCGCTCGTCTCAGCAGACGGTAACATATTGCCGAGCCACCTTAGCTTGCAGTGTAATATACACTGCATTCTTTGAATGAAATGCTACCTGTTTCTCCCAAACCTGCCTCCGGATTACTTCATTGTGAATTCTCTGATTCTATGCCGAGCCACCTTAGCTTGCATTGTAATATACACTGCATTCTTTGAATGAACTGCTACCTGTTTCTCCCAAACCCGCCTCCTGATTACTTCATTGTGAATTCTCTGATTCTAACCGAGTCCAGAGTTACTTCGCAGACATCGGTGGTCAAAGACCAACTCGATCGGTATATGGACTTGTTTACATTACATGCGGTCACAACTGGGCCAGTTTTTATCAACGCAACCACAGCGTATGTTTGGCACTTAGTGTCATACTATATAAAGTAAGATGCATAGCAGACTGAACGCGGTTGGGAGGTATTTCTAGCCAGACGCACGGAATGTGAGCGAAACTTTGTCAGATTCATGGCTAACAAGGGCAGTAGACTACACGCACCGCTGATGACTGTAATGAATTACTGAACTTAATTCTTAAAGCTCGTTGAGAAAACTGTTTGAAGTTCGGTTGAATCGGAATCTGAGTGATGACCGCTCCAGGATAATGTGAATAATCAGTAGCGTGAAAGTCACTCGTAAAGTGTTCTCGTTCGTGCCTCAGTGACAGATGAAGAAGCGTGACTGTTTTCTGCTCTCATTATTTGCTCCATCCACGCGGACGGAAATGGCCTGTGAGCTTCTCTAAATATTGTTGAACTTCAAATTAGGAAATCCTATCGGAGTGAGGGAATCCGTGACCCTTGCTTCATCTTGTTCTCATGACCGCTTTTGATGTTCTGATGCACACAGAGTAGCGGTAGTTTAGTCGATCGTCTGTAGAGTTTGCATCCAAATTGTATCAGACAGTAGCAAACTCAAATTTTATTTGCTAATGGTAACCTTTTGGCTAACAAACCATTGTTTTTTCTCTACCAGGGATACGATGAACTGGTTGAAGCTAACGAAAACGAACAACTTTCCGACTTTCTCCGTATCCCAGTCAATCGTACACCGGTTTCGTTTGGGGCGTCCTGATGGTCCCCGGACTCCTACACCAACATATGTGGGGTCACCTGTCTTTTATGCACTATCTAGTTTGTTACGCAACCGTTTTTGCTGTACTTCTTTTGCAACAACACACGAGTGGCGTTTTTTAATCTTCAGCTTTTCTGTTGGCCAGTTGAAATGTGATTAGCGTTTTTTGTACGTATCGATCATCAATTCGTCCGGTTAATTTCCATTGTTTCATTTTTTCTTTTTGTTACTTCTCACCCCTTTCTGTCCCTCTCCCTCGCTTGATCACATTCCAGCCGTATCAGTTGACTCGCTCCATTGCTTCAATTACATTCCCGCTAAACAGAGCCAACCGCCTATTGTCACCTGCCCCTTGTTGTTTGCTCACATTCCCAAATCCTACTGAACCTTTGCCTTCCTTTACTATGGCCAATTTTTTGATTGTTTCTGTTTTGTGTTCCCAGCTTGTGATCAGTTTTTCTGGGTTTCGGTTAAATACATTTGACATAGTCGATTTACGCGTGTCGCAAACTTTTCGGTTCTGTTCCAAACTGCCTCGTCCAAAGGAATTGGTTTATTTCGAAACGTTCTAGTGTTCTTAGGAACTGAGCCGGACGGGAGGGGATATAGTTCTCTTCCAGCATTTTTGGCAAATCTGACCCAACCGAAAATTGGACAGTGCAACAGGCAGTCCAGTTTGTCTAGCCGATAAAGTGAGGTCCTGCTTCATGATTGGAAAGATCTATCACTCACGGTCGTCAGGGCATCAAGACCTATGGAATCAGCAATTAAGTATATCCTTTTTTGGTTGGATGTATCAGTTTGGTGTGTTTGAACGCCGGGTTCAGAAATGTCTGTTCGGCTTTTTAACTTGACTATAGTGTGATAGTTGCCTGTTAATAGTGATCGTGGTATAAACCGTCAGTCTGCGACATACATAATTGGTATTATGGTCTTCGGAATATTGCATTCGATTGCCAACTTGATAATCCAACGGAATTCGCCCTGGACAATTGTCAAGGAAAACCACACTTGGATACACAGCTCTGACGAGATGTGCAACTCTATACATGACGCGTTCTATCGTCTATTGTGCTTCTTGTCGGTCGTAGGGCGCAAAACTTAGGTGTATAGTCCGTCAGCATCCCTTCCCGTGTTTGCCAATCACACCCAACTACACCGATTGGCCCTGGCACAGATTGGATAATACCGCGCGTAGAAACAAGTGAGAATCCTGGTGTAAACTTGATGTATGATCAGAGGGCTAACATGGGGAGGCAGGTCCAGAGACAATTGGCCCATAACTGTCGGTTCCTGTTGGACATAGTATGCAGAGGATGAGCCGCTGCAGTCAAGACGCGTCCTACACGCATACGTATGTCTCGTGGTGTTTTCCCGGAATTCGATCAAGAGTGAATGACCGTATTCCATGGAACTCTCAGTTTGTTAGTGCAAAAACAGGTTTTTGTTAGATCACAGAGAGCATCGTGCACCACACTGCATTCTTCGATGGATGTTCGGATATGCGCATTCCTCATTGGTGCACTATCCGATTGGCTCTGCGGCAGTTGGTGTCGGTCGGTCTTTGTGTATAATTTTAACTGAAGTATAACCTTAACCACTGAACGGTCGGAACTGGCGTTGGCCTGCAGTGAAAGGCCTAACGGATTGACTGCTGGGCAGTTTCTCAAGGCCATACCACTGATGGCCGATAGTTTCACCAACTTATGCGGTCTATTAGGCCCATATCTAGTCATTGTTAAGCAATAATCGGTCCGATCTGAAAATCGGTAACCGCAACAAGTCCCTCCCGGCACCATTGCCTTAATCAGTGGCTCATTTGCTGAGTGAAATGGAAACCCGATATGTCTGCTCTGGATGGTTTGCGTTATTATTCAGCCCAGCTCAGATGGCCTCTGTGATGTTTTGTAGTTGGTTATGGTTTGACTTTTTCGGGTCCATAAAGCGATGGTTGCAAACAGTTAGTTCTATTTACATCGCTGGATCAGCATAACGTTCACAAACCAGCGTGCAGACAATCAGACAGTCGAATCCGATGTTACCTTTGGGGGGGGGGGTGGACCAAGTGGTTAAAGCGCGAATTTACTGACCGGAAGGTCCGTGGTTCGAACCCGACCTCTGCCACTCGACTTCCCCTGTTTGGGCTTGGGCAACCTGGCAGTAGCCCAGCCCTCCTGCCTTCTTCGTGTGGCATGGCAGTTAGGCATATTCTTATTCTCGGGTTGGCCGGTGAGAGGTTAAGCCCACACATCCATATGAGGAGCCACAATTACTCTGGTTTGGCCTATTTTTATCAACGGCGATGATCATGGTAAGTCATTTCTAGCGTCTTCATAGTCTGATATCCTTAGAAAGCTAAGAGCGATTCTGTATATTCGCTTAGTTTCCGGGCGGACTGCTGTGCGCTAGTTTAGGACAGCCCGCGCAAACGGCCACGGTCTGCGCCGATCCACCTATTTTTATTACCAGGAAACCCTTCGGTCCCCATGCTTCATCGTCTGCTCCATAGCTATCGATTGACTGTTCCCAAACATTATCTCTCGCCACTGGACTCCCATGTCCCTGTTTTCTGCTCTATCACTTCAGATTGTCAAGACAGTCGTTCAGCTGTAGCACCCTTTCGGTGCTTAGCTGCCATGCCACCAGAAGGAAGCACGAGGACTAGGATAATGCCAGGCTGCCCAAGTCTAGACAGGAGAGGTCGAGGTCGGGGTCGAACCATGGACCTTCCGGTCAGTAAATTCGCGCTCTAACCACTGAGCCATCTCGTCCCGGCTGAGATACTGCAATCAAATTGCTCAGCTCAGCGAACAAACCAATGAATGCGCTGCCACGTTTCTCAAGCCAAGACAGGAGCAGTCGAGATATAGAGGTTGGGTTCGAACCACGGATCTTCAGGCCAGTAAATTCGCATTTCATCCACCTGGTCATCTGAAAGTCAGATAGACGCTGGTAGCTTTCAATCTCTTAACTTCGCAAACACAGGCTTATTCGAACGTATGGGAAACAATTGTCCGAAAAAAAGTTTGACAAACATATAGGAACCATGGCGTTCTCATTAGTCTTCGTCTTCTAACTTTATTACTTTTCTGTCAACTGAGGAAGTTGTATATTTCGAACTCTGGTCGTTTCCAATTCCACACCTGCGCCTACTCTCCCCCAGTCGATGTGTCTTCATAGATGTAAAAGGGTTACATTATGACATGTTCTGTGCTTCGGTAGCCGTGCCCACGGCAATGGGGGTTAGTTGCCATTTATTAGTGACGTTATGTTCTATCGACTTTTGCCCTCCCACCGTGGCCACCTCTCAAAAAACGACCGGGTTTCTTGAAGGCCGCAAGAGACAAGTATAACTAACAGTTATGAAGCAATGCAGTTGACGCTGCGAACCTCGGTTGTACTGTGCACCTCTGTAGATTTCCGTCACATTCTATACAACTCGAAGATTTGTTGCTTATCTTCGACTTGTGTTCCAATCAATAAACACTGTGCACATGCACGCATTAATTGGCATTGTTAACCTGCGTGCGACATTCTGCACACATTTTGTTTTTTTGAGTTTTTGGCGATCTAAATGCAGGTGTGAAGCTAGGTGAGGCACGTTAGCTTTCATTTATGTAGGCATGTCGAAGTAGTTTCTGATGAGCACTTTAGAAGACTTTCTGACCGTCCCAATAACATGTTTTGATCCGAACTTCGAAACGAGAAGGCGCTGTGGATCCCGCGTTGAGCGCGCCCCGTCGGTTCAACCGCCACGCCGCTGTTTTGGAGTTCGGGAAAGCGAGTATTTTTAGAAACAAATTTAACAAATGGCAAACGAAGACAAATCAATTGTGGCTAATTGAACACTGAAATTTCAGCGCTTCGGGGCAGTCCAAATTGCGACCGTTGATCCACAGCTCAGTTAGTGCCGTAGAATCGTAAATTCGACCTTGACGTTTGAACACGTGAGTACTAATTGGCTGTCAGTGAGAGCCGGGCGATCGCAAATCACTCATTATTGTTAGAAGTGAATAAACAAAATCAGCTGACATCAAATTTTAAGGTGCGTTAAAAAGACTCTAAGCGTGCATCCATCACTTCAGGACTGTTGCTTTTGGCTGCTGAAGGGGTCACTAACCTTGAGGACCGCTAATTTAAGGTTCCACCGGAAACCCGTTATGACAAGGTTATTGGGACTGATAAAGTGCTTTGCCGTAACAGGGATCCAACTGGTTGGAGGACGCCTCGTTGGTTTAACCATGCTAGCTGAGTTGACTCATTTCAGTTTGTATGCTTTTGTGTCTATGGTGATGCAGCTGCAGTGTTTGTAGGCACTTGTCACGCGGTTATTTTTGTCCATCTAACCGAGGTTATAAACAAAACCTCTTTGTGGGTTTCATTTCTGTAGTGCGATGCTTTGTCAGAGTGCCATTATAGTCATCATCATTGACTGCAAAACCAGCTGAGAACACTGATGCTTCACTACCGGACAGTCATGCCATTTTGTCTGAATAAAGCCATATAGTGGAAAGAAGAAAGAAGACGGGGTAGAGAAGGGGTCTAGGGATAGCCTACAACAAACATCCGGGGTACGTACACCTCCAATACTCAGTCAGATATTCTGGATAGAAACTGACAGACAGATATCGGCCTCCAACACTCAGTCAGATAACCTGGATAGAAACTGACAGACAGATATCGGTTAACCGCCAGAGGGAAGTTCGCTTGGTCCTCGTCCAGGAAGGCGTACAACACCCAGATATTTTGTGACATCTTTCGTCCCCTTATCCCATGTCAAGTTCTGTCCACTTCTAGGCACGGAAAACAGCGCTCGTCTCGGCATACGGTAACATCTTAGCTTGCAGTGCTGGATACATTGCATTCTTTGAGTGAATTGCCACCTGTTTCTCCCAAACCCTCCTCCTGATCACTTCATTCTGAGTTCTCCGATTCTAACCGAATCCAGCGGTACTTCGCAGACATCGATGGTCAAAGATGTGAGGATGTTTCATATCCTGCGCTCGCAGCTGTACAACAACACAGTCCGTACGTTGATCTGATAGACCGTCTCTTTGGGTCACAGTGATACGCATTTTCGATGCCACAAGTGGCGCAGATTGATAAGTGCACCTTTGAGGCCCATTCGTCGACTTCATCTGTCACACTGGCGTCAGAGACAATTCAATATCCGAGATACGTGTGGTTTTTCACAACTTCCACCGCTTGAATTCTTGGAGGCGTGTTCGAAGCATGCACGTCACACGAATCTCGTGGGCGCGAAGAACATGCCGAACGGCTGGATGACCTTAACCAGCTTTTCTAGTAGTGTTTGAGCTTCCAGCCCTTTAAGAAGACCGGGAAAGTGTCTTCTGTTATCAAGAAATGTTGAGTCATGGTAATCCGACAGAAAGGTTTACTATTGTAAACGACCACGTTTTGATCAAGTCTGCTGGAATTGAAAGAACTGGACAGGAAAATTAAAAAAGACAGCTGCAGCAGTAGAGCGACATTCCCTGAGTAAACGGTCCTTTAATTAGGTTCTGTCAAAGTGTCTCATGCTAAACCAGTTATTACCCCCCCCCCCCCCAAATACTTCGTCTCTTTTGTCTGTCCGAGTTAGTTTCGCCGGGTTTTCGAGTGAATTAAAAACTCGATAAACATTGTGAGTTTTCCCTGGTGCCCGAGTGTAAGCACGAAGCCTATTGTACGGTAGAATCAGTCAGATTATTGGGCCTCCGTGTATAAATCTTCCCTTTAAAAAATGGAGCAACTCGTATTCGAGGCTGATTTGACGAGGACAACTGATCGGAGTTTCCGCATTGATAACTCGATGCCGCCGCCTGCGTAGGCGTACCCAGCGAGGTTCACTTCGTTGGACCCATGACTGATGTAAGCGTCTTTAAAAATCTTTAGTAGCAGACCCGATCTTTCACATTTCATGGCGGTTTGTTGATGCACTGCTCCAATGTGTCGATGACGCAGACTAAGCCCGGCCTCTGTATCATCCAGTTAGCGTATTCCACCCCATCACGCACCGTCAAATTCCCGGACCATGTAACTTTGTCAAACCGAATATGACTGATTGCATTTGCCGTGAACTAGTCCAAACGAAACAGGTGTGTATTTTTCTTTGGATGGTGTTTCTCATTGACGAGACGGTCGGACGGCAAGATTACCCGTGTATTTTTCGTTGACGAGACGGTCGGACGGCAAGATTACCCGGTCTCCACCTTGAAACTACAGCCCGATAGTGTGAGTACACGCATGTGCACGTGTGCTTAGGAAGAAGGCTTGTGAGCATGGGGCTGTTATTGGTGAAGTAACCTAGAGCCCTTCGTGTGTGTGTGTGTGTGTGTGTGTGTGTGTGTGTGTGTGTGTGTGTGTGAAGGACTACATACTCCGCGCAGTGCCACGTTTTATCATGCTTTTGTCTCAAACTGGTATTTTCAGGGACTATTCCAATTTTGAAAAAGTTTGGGAAACTGAATCATTTCTTCTCGTTCGTAAACGGTCTTTGTCCAGGGGTGGGACTTATAGGAGAATGACTGTATATTCATGCTGTCATGCAAGAACACACCGTGGAAAACAACAAAGGTGGTAGAAATCTCTTCCTGTTTCAGTTTGTACGATATTCGAGATATCGCAGTATAGTTTTATGAGGGAAACTACTCACAAGGTTGCTGAAAACTCTTCGACAGCCCACGACCGGTTTCACCCTTCATGGGGCTCATCAGGTAGGCGCAGTTCCCGAGTTTCCGTCAACCTTATGTTCTGCATGAAAGTAAATTGGACTGTTTTCAAGAAATACACTCATTTGCAAATCAATGAGACGGCCTGTGTGCAGCACATTCAGTTGTAGAACATCATAAACGAGAGATTCAGTTGAGTTTCGCGTGAAAACCAAATTGATTTGCAAATGAGTGTATTTCTCGAAAACAATTTGATTTGGGCTCATGTTGAACATAAGGTTGACGGATACTCGGGCACTGTGGGCCTACCTGATGAGCCCTAAGATGGGCGAAACCGGTCGTGGGCTGTCGAAGAGTTATCAGCAACCTTCGTGGTAGAGCTCTGTTTTAGTGCCCTTTGTAGACCAGTTTGGGGCGGTTACTCTACAGAGGGATAGACTCTGCATGATATTTCCATATTCACCGTTTAGTTCCCGGGGAAAAGCGATCTAGGTGGGAGGATATTTTTCCATAATTCATTGTGGCTGGTTGGAGAATTCTTGGAATTCACATCACTTTTGTTTGAAAAGTCCCCCCTCCTGTCCTGGCGCAATTATACTGGTGAGTTCCCACCAAATGGTAACAGCACCCGACTG